TCAATGATTCGGAGTAGGTACTTCGGAACACCGAAATTCGAGCGCTTCCCTTATCAGGTCCCACCTGACGGAGTTGAAGGCATTTCTCACGTCTAAGGTGGCCATCAGGCACAGAGGTCGAGTTCGATCATTGTGTCGCTCCATCATTTTAGCGGCCGTAACCACCTCCTGGATTGCGTGGATGGTGAAGAGGCCGGATCGGAATCCGTACTGGAGGCTGGCAAGATACCCCGCTGCCTTCATGACTGCGTGCAGTCTTGACCTTAGCAGCTTCTCCAGGAGTTTTCCAGCCGTATCGAGCATACAAATAGGCCTGTATGATGAAGCTGCCCCTATTGGACCTCTGCCCTTGCTAATGAGCACAAGCCTCGCTTTCTTCCATGAAGCGGCGAAGATGACCCCTCTGAGGCACGTGTTATACATGTTCAGCAAGAGCTCAGGGTGACTTTGCGCGACGACCTTAATTATTTCTGCTGGAAGTCTGTCTGGACCTGGAGCTTTCTTGTTCCGCATAGAAGATTCGGCCCTGAGTAGCTCTTCTTCCGTGAATTGCGGTACCTCGCTTATTCCGGGCGCATCCAAGCTGATCTCTCTCTTCGGCTGTGGTGGGAATAGAGTTTGCACGATGTGATCCAACGTCCTCGCGTCCTGAGGGGTCCCTTTCGTGTTAGTCCCCAGCTTGCGAGTGACGATGAAGTACCTTAATCCCCACGGATTCTGGTCGACATCCAGGCACAGCTCCTACCAGCACGGTCGTTGACTGGCCTTGATGGTCTTCTTTAGGGCTTTCTTGGCCGCTTGATAGTCGGCGGCGAAAGGAGCAGCGTCGTGGTCGCGTCTCTTCGCTCGTAGTGCTAAACTGCGTAGCCTTAAGCACTTCTTACGAAGATCTGCGCTTTCGTTCGTCCACCAGTATAAAGGGCGCCTCTACCGTTTCGCGCCATTCTTTGGCACCGCTACCGCACAAGCCTTTTGGATGAGCTGTATGGTTGCTGCGCTAATCAACCTGGCCTGTGCGGGTGGCGATAGACTCGAGGAAGTACTTTGTTGGGATCTCCATCCTTCCTCTATGACTGAAGACAGCCTCTCTCGATACATTCTTATAATGTTCCTCCGGGGGGTCGCTTTACACTTGTCACGGCTGGCCTCCTATCATGTACATCGAATAGGATGTACTTATGATCGCTCCCGGTATAATCTTCGACCACCTGCCAGCCAGCGACTCTTGCCACAAGGTTTTCGCTGGCTAGAGAGACATCCGGGATCGTCTCTCTTTAGCCAGGCCTGCGGAATGTTAACGTCGAACCTGTGTTGAGTACTGATAGCTCCAGTCTCGACGCCACCTCCATGATACGTCTTCCTCTGGAGTCCGGCCTGACCTCCCCCATTCGTGAGCTTTGGCATTGAGGTCTCCAGCCACAATGAGATCTCCTAGCATTTCCCGCAGCGCGTCTTCCAGATCGTCCAGTTTGATCTGGAAGTCGTCTATCCGGTCGTTCGGAGTGAGATATACACTGACATAAGTCGTCGAGTTATGTCTCACCCAAACGTAACTGCATCCGGATCCTTGGTCCGACACATGTATTAGTCGGGGATCTGGGATCCAGATGGCCGCGGTGCCCAATTTGTCTGCGTACCATCCTACTCTGCCCCGTCCTGGTGCTGTTCGCTGATTAGAACAACATCAGCTTTTTTCTCAGAGCAAAGCTGGGCTAGAACGTGATGCGCCGTCCTGCTCCTATACAGGTTACCCTGAAGTACTCTCATCCTTTTTTCTCTACTTTTTTGCTGTTTCAAGGGCCTCCTGGAAAACTTTGCAAACCCTTGATCCCGCCAGGTACTTCCTAGTTTCAACACCGCTCTTTGAGGACAAGAAGCAAGTAGGCTCGCTGATCTTGCAATCTTTGATCTTGTGCCCCGTGCTGCCACAATAATAGCAAACTTTACTGCGACCAGGTCCCTTGTACGAGGCACTATAGTGACCATAGTCGAGACAGCAATAGCATCGCCTCACTTCTGCCTTTCGCATGACGCTGCAGCTGATGAAACCGATCAGCACTCGGCCGGCCTTTAAAAGCTGCGCAACTGCTTCCTCTTCTATTTTGATGAGGGCCAGGCGTTGTTGTCTTGCGTTGGGATTCGTAATCTTAATTTCGATTTTCCCCGCGTAGCCTGGCAGGGTCCTCTTTAGGGCCTCCTCGACTTCTATCGACGAGGTGCAGCAGTCACAGTCCTGTATCTCCAGAGTAGCTCTAGAGACCAGTTCCGTGATGCTGCTCGTTTCTCCTACCTCTTTTCTCAGGGTTTCCGCGAATGAGGCCCTTATATCTACAGTGGTCTTGTTTAGTTCGAGGAGAAGCCCTCCGGTTCTAGTCTGCCGGAACGATCTAATGTCTACCCCTGAGGCGCTGGTCTTGATGCGCTGGTGGATGACTCCGACTACGTCTGCGTAAGATTTTCCTTGCGCAGGTTTCAGGAGTTTCATTGCGTCCGGCCTAGTACTCTTTCTCGGCATATCCTCCGATTTGTTCGGCTTCTTTTTCTCCTGATATAGGTGTTTCGTCGCCTTCGTCTCAGGTTTCTCCTTATTTCATTTCTTCTTCACGACCTCCGTCCACATGGTAGATTCGGTTGTCGTAGACTCTTGTCTCGGTCTTTTGAGGGTTTCTTCAGACAACTGCGCCGGGCTTGAGGCTACTCTCTTAACTGCGCTGGGCTCAGTCGTAGAATTTGCCCGAGGGCTCTGTGAAACTCGGGTGAGGGTCCTCGCTCCCATATTGACCTTTTTTCGAGATTTATACATAAACTCGAGACTGTCAATGATGTCCTCAAGTTCTGGGAGACCTTGCTTAATAGCGTTGTTCACGTTTGGCTGTCTAGTAATAGCAGACTTCATTTTAGCAAGGAGGGATTTCGCTTGCGCGAATTTCTCACTCCCTCCATCATGGGTTGTCCCCTTCACAGGCTGGATAGGTGCGGTCAAGCCGGAGAGCCGAAAGCCATCAACGGCCCTGGTAGACCTCTGCCATTCCTCCAAGTGGTCATCTTCATATTTTACCTTTCCTGGCACTTTCGTCACACCGCAGACCAGGTCGCCTATCTGTGGTGCACTTCCTGATACATTTTCCAGAGCTGGGGCCAGATTTCCTACCCCAAACTCCTGCCAGATGCTGGATGACGACGGCGCGTGGCCTGCCTTACCACCACCAGACAACGCCGAGGCATGGGTGTCCCTCCCACGCCAGCTATTATCATTCGTCGTACTATTCATGATGAGTAATGTACTTTTGGGAGGTAAGTTCCCCAATAGAATGGATAAGAAAGGAAGGAAGCTACAGAGTAAGAAAAAGAATAGAAAAATATATGATAAGAGAAAAAAGGAAGGAATAGCCGTTCGATCACATTCACACGCCATTTACACAGTCCCTTCTAGTCGCCCCTTACGACAAGCAGGGTGTACTGTGGGAGTATTCTACTTCCCCCTACCCACTGGGGGGAATAATAACAATAATAATAATAATAATAATAATTATAATAATAATTATAATAATAATAATAATAATAATAATAATAATAATAACAATCATAATAATAATAATAATAATAATAATAATCTCTAAACAGATAGGTGGGGAAGGTCGGCTTCTACCTCACTCAATTCTTTGACAGGGCATGGTCTGTTCTGCTCCTACCTCGCAAAAATGAGGAAGGTAGCAGACGGCAACTACCCCTATGACGACACGACCTTCGACTACGCCCACCACACATCCATCAAATGTGATAGGTGGAGTGTCTTAGGACTCGCCTTGGAGCAAGACCTCGGACAAATCGCTTCAGACAACATTGTCGAGAAAATACTCCGAGGTCAGCAGGAGTGGAACAAGGTGGTCCGATACGTCAGGACAACCTTGTACAGAAAAAAGATGGAGATGGGTGGCACATAGACGTGCCCCAAACGTAGCACCAAGCTCCCGCCCAGTAGAGCCGAAGGGAGAGTCCCGTAATGGGACCTGATGCAGTAGCGCCATACCGAAATAATGCCACAGGGTGGTGCCGGGATGGTTTCACTATGGCACAAGGAGTACATGAGCATAGTCGGTAGTGCCTATTCTAAAGGTGAGCCCGACACTCCAGGGACCTCAAAGGAGGAACCAAAGAATGAAGGGCACCACTGGCGGACGGGGTCCATGGGTTAGTGCGTAAAGATTGTCATTCTCAGACCACCAAAAAAAAAAGAAATTATTATTGTTATTATCATTATTATTAATATTGCTGTTGTTATTATTATTATTATTGTAATTGTCATTATTATTATTATTTTTATTATTATTATTATTATTAATAATATTAGTATTATTATTATTACTTCTATTAATAATATTATTGTTATAATTATTATTATTATTGTTAGTATTATTATCCTTATTATTTTTGTTATTATTATTATTATTATTTTTATTATTTCTGTTAAAGTTATTAATATTATTATAGTTATTGTTATTATTATAATTACTGCTATTGCTATTACTTTTGTTATTGTTATTGTTATTAATACTGTTATAGTTATTGTTATTATTATTATTATTTTTATTATGATTATTAATGTTATTGTCATTGTTACAATTGTTACTATTGTTATTATTATTATTATTGTCATTGTAATTATTATTATTATTATTATTATTAATGTTATTGTTATTATTATTGTTATTGATATGATTATTATTATTTGCCATGCTTCTTACTATTGATATTGTTATTGCTATTATTATTATTATTGTTATTGTCATTATTATCACTATTTGATTGTTATAATAATTATAATTTTTATTGTTATTATTATTTTTTTTGCTATTGTTATTAATATTATTATTGTTATTGTAATTATAATTTATATTGTTTTTGTTATTTCTATTATTATTGTTATTATTATTATTATTGATATTTTTATTGTTATTGTTATTGTTATTATTATAGTTAATGTTATTGTCATTATTACTATTATTCTTATCGTCATTAATATTAATGTTTTTGTTATTATTAAAATTATTGTTATAGTTATTATTATTATTATTGCTATTGTTATTATTATTGTTTTTTATATTGTTATGATTATTATTATTCTTATTGTTATTATTATTATTATGGTTAATGTAATAGTTAACATTATTTTTATTGATATTTTTATTTTTATTCTTATTGATATTGTCGTTACTATTACTATTGTTATTGTTATTATTATTATTACTGTTATTGTTATGATGATGATTATTGCTATTATTATTATTATTGCTAATGTTATTATTATTATTATTCTATTAGTTATTATTATTGTTATTGTTATTATTATTTTTTTGTTATTGTTATTACTATGTTTATAGTTTTCTTTATTACTATTATTATTGTTATTGTCATTATTATTATTATTCGAATTTTTATTATTATAGTTATTGATATTGTTATTATTATTATTATTTTTGTTGTTTTTATTATTGCTATTGTTATTGTTATTATTATTATTATTGTATTTATTATTATTTTTGTTTTTTTATTTTATTGTCATTGTCATTTTTATTATTATCATTACTTTTATTGATATTGTTATTATTATTGTTAATGATATTATAATTATTGTTATTGTTATTGTTATTGTTATTATTATTGTCATTATCATTATCATTGTTATTGGTATTATTATGATTGTTGCTATTGTTAATATTATTATGATTGTTATTGTTATTAATGTTATTACTGCTACAGTTATTAATATTATTATTGTTATTGTTAATATAATTATTATTGTTATCGTAATTATTAATATTGTTGTTATTGACATTATTCTTATTATTGTTATTGTTATTGTTATTATTATTATTTTTACTGTCATTATTATTATTATTGTCATTTTTATTATTATTATTATTGTAATTGTTATTAATATTATTATTGTTATTGTTATTATTAATAGTATTGATATTGTAAATAATATTATTAATTTTATTGATATTATTCTTATTTTTGTTATTGCTATATTATTATTATTATTATTGTTATTGTTATTATTATTATTATTGTTATTGTTATTATTATTATTATTGTTACTATTATTTTTATTATTAATGTTATTGTTATTATTATTGTTATTGTTATTATTATTATTATAGTTATTATTATTATTACTATTATTATTATTGTTACTCTTATTATTATTATTTTTATTATTTCTGTTAAAGCTATTATTATTATTATTATTACTATTATTATTATTATTATTACTGTTATTATTATTATTATTGTTAATATTATTAGTGTTATTATTTTTACAGTTATTATTATTATTTTTGTTATAATTATTATTATTATTAATATAATTATCATTATCCATATTATTATTATTATTATTATTATCATTAATATTATTACTATTTCTGTTAAAGTTGTTATTATTCACATTGTCAATATTATTGTTATTATTATTTCTGTTGACATAATTATTATTATTTTTATTGTTATAATTACTGTTATTTTTTCTGTTATTATTATTATTATTGTTATTGTTATTGTCATAATTACTGTTATTGTTATTGCTATTATTACTCTTACTGTTGTTATTATTATTAATATTATCTTTATTGTTATTATTATTGTTATTGTTCTGATTATTATTATTGCTTTTGTTCTTACTATTGATATTGTAATTGTTATTATTATTATTATTGTAATTGTCATTATTATAGTTATTGTCATTATTATTACTATTGTGAATGTTATAAAAATTATAATTGTTATTGTAATAATTATTTTTATTGCTATTGTTATTGATATTATTGTTAGTGTTATTATAATTTATATTTTTTTTGCTATTTCTATTAATATTGCCATTGTTATTATTCTTATTTTTGATATTTTCATTGCTATTGTTGTTGTTATTATTATAGTTATTGTTATTATCATTATTATTATTATTCTTATCGATATTATTATTAATGTTTTTGTTATCATTAATATTACTTTTATTGTTATTGTTATTATTACTGCTATTGTTATTATTATTGTTTTTGATATTGTTAGTATTATTATATTTATTGTTATTATTATTATTATGATTAATGTAATGTTGAATATTATTTTAATTGTTGTTATTATTATTATTCTGATTTTTATTGTTATTACTACCACAATTGTTATTGTTATTATTACTATTATTCTTATTTGTTATGATAATGATAATTGCTTTTGTTACTATTATTATTTTTTTTTGTTATTATTGTTATTATTCATACTATTATTATTATTGCTATTGTTATTATTATTGTTATTTTTATTATTATTATTATTCTTATTGTTATGATAATGATAATTGCTTTTGTTATTATTTTTCTTTTTTTTTATTATTATTGTTATTATTCATACTATTATTATTATTGCTATTGTTATTATTATTGTTATTTTTTTATTATTATTGTTATTATTCATACTATTATTATTATTGCTATTGTTATTATTATTGTTATT